CAAGCTTTATTGACTGCTATTAATTAATAACTTTTTCTTATAAATAGTAACTGGCTCTTGTGAAGAAGAATGCAAGACATGCCTCCACCACAGCATACCACGTCTGATCACTACTGTGACTAATAGATAACAAGCGGTCACCATGGCAACACATGTGGAGATCTTTACAGTGGTTATTCAACCACTGAATTGCTTGGATTATTACGATATTTTTGTTCTGTTTAAACTTTGAAGCTGACATCTTTCTAAAAGAGGTCAAGACCAAAGTAGAACTATATGATAAGAATAGATTCCTTAGTATTTAATGGAAAAGCAATTTTATGAGTCTTAAAATAAATGGTAGTCATATGGATTAGTTTGCGTCACAGAGTTACTTACATAAGAAATGTGGGACTGTTCTGTAAGACAAACATGCAGGCTTAATATTTTTCTCAATCAAGTAAGTGTCCGATAGAACAGCAAAATGTTGTAAAATTTAGAAATAATTTAGTGGCTCAGGTAAAAGTTATTTAATCCATCTTTTCTGCTACTTTACTTTATAAAGCAGATTGCTTCTTTGACAGTTTCATGTTTCATGCAACACCTGGTGCACAGTGACACACCTGCTAACTCTGTTTTCTATGAAAATGAAAACCAGTTTTACAATAAGGTGATTGCATGATTAAAGATAATGTACACAAAATGAATGTTTAAAAATTAAATAGCTCTGGAAAAAAAAAAATAATAATGATCATTTAAAAACTACACAGCTGTTTAGGATGGCAGACAGCCATGATGGTCTTTGCTCATCCTGGACAAGCCATTAATCTTAGTCTTTAAGACTTAATCTGGGGTTATATAAAAGAAGAAAAACTGCATTCCCTATGACAATTGCATACACCCCAAAAAGTGCAAAACTAGAAGAGAAGGTGCAGTGCTTCAAGTTAGCATTAAAAATAATTCTGTTTATATTTTATTGACTAATGCCTATGTAGAAAGGAGATTTTTCTCTCTTCTTTTTTTTTTTTAGTTTTTTTTATTCCCCAATATGTCATTTAAAGTTCCTTTTTTGAAAAAGACAAGATTTTCTGAAGTTTTTGTTTAGAATTAGTTAATATATTCTTAAGAATGTGACTTCAGGAAAAACTTGAAAAAATGTAGAGTTAAAAGGCTAATCTAAACAGTTCCGGTGTGTGATATTATAAGTAGGGGGGAGTGGTGGCCTAGTGTTTAGGGCATAGAGCTTGTAATCATTTGAGTTCGAGCCCCTATCCCATAGACTGCCACTCTGGCTCTCTGAGCAAAAGACCTTTAACCCCAAACTGCTCCCCAGGCGCTGCACAATGGCAGCCCACTGCTCCCCAAGGAAATGGGGTTAAATGCAGAGAGTTCATTTCATTGCTCTGTACTTTTGACAGTGTAATGACAATAAAAAAAGCTGGAAGAAGCACAGAACTCCCTGAAACTGAATCTTTTGATATTTTTATGATTTATATATCTGACCAAATACCCAATGTTTTGTGACCAGTTTAGTCTCTTGTATTCCATTCCTTTTTAACTAAATGGAGGGACGCATGCCCTTTCAGGATACTTGTGGCATTCTAATTTTAAAATCATAACTTCAAATTGATGTCTATTTTCTCTTTCTCTTGATCAACCACCTCTATTTGTTTTTTCAAATATAAGATTGGTGGAGATACCTTCCATGTTTTAGAAAGAGAGCTGTTGGTACCCTTAGAACATAGCTCCATGTGTGAGTTGCGCGAATCTACCACAAGATGTCGCCATTTACGTCTTTTCTTTACCATTTAATTCTTTTTAAACGACTGCTTCAAATTGTTGTTTACAAGCACTTAATAAAAACTTACATTGCAATTTCATCACAGGGAGCTTCAGAATAGTTTTAACATCTGGGACATTCCTCCCTCTTATGTGAACTCTGAGGGTAGCGGGCTGCAGCCGCATGCTTGGAAAGTCACATTCCCTGAAGTTCCTGTGGTCGTGGAGAGGATAGGGTGTTTTCCCGCTGATGGCACCTGCCAAGCCTCGCAGAGGAAATGAGAAAGTTGCTGCTGACCAGAGTGACCTGCGCTGCGCAGACTGCAAGACAGGAAACTAAATAACCTTTTTTTTTTTTTAAACACAACCACACTTTTGTTTGCATTGGAAATGTCAGAAACGTTTTATTTAAAGCCTGCGTTTTTCACCTGTTGTTCATTATCAGCAAAGGACACAGTTATTCTCCATGCCAACATGTTTGACAGATGAGTTGGAAATCCAGTAGTGGAGATGCTACGGTTAGTAATTAGGTTGCACTCTTTAATCATTTAAACTACAGCCTGTGTTGAGGCCGCGCGTGCTCCATTAGCGCTGATCTGGGTAATGTGTGCAGCTGCTGCTCAGGTAGATTAGTCAGTCTAATCAGCTGGATGGTGCCACAGCAGCTGTAAATCACATTAGGCCCGAGTTGGCCACTACTGAGCAGAGCTGGCTGCTGATGTGACTGCAGCCCAGCCCCCTTCATTTGGTCACAGCCACGTTAGCAGCACAGGATTACAGATAACTATGTTATGTGTCAGCCCTGGGAAGAAGACAGAGAGAAATAACAATCTTTCAGACTCTGAATAGCCTACATTGGTCAGGACTATCATTAAGGGTGATGAAATATCATAACTAAAAGGACAAGGGATCGTTTGAACAGGAAATTGCTGTCATATCTGGGACCTTTTCATTCTTTCATCCCTAAAGGATCCATCACTTCCTAATCAAAATATAACTCCAGATGTCAGTTCATCTTTTTTTGGGTGAATCCCTTTGTTCAAGACTATATATTCCTTTCATTGCCGAGCATACTGTCTGCTTTCCCTTAGCAAGAAGTAGTTTATTCAAATATACTAAAAATGTACTAATTTCATACTTAAAATCAGGCAGTGCACTATATTTCATATACTTAACAAATAGTATAGTCAAATGTACTTGACTATACTATTGTTTACTTTATTGTTTACTAAAGTATACTTTAATTATACTTTAGTAAACCTAAAAATGTCCCAATTTAGTTCGAAGAAGCATTACTTTAGGACCGGTAATACTTCAAGTAGGCTACAGTAAAAGTAATTGTTCGGTATACTATCTAAAGTTATACTTAATAGAATTTACTTCAAATATACTACTTTTTGCTAAGGGTTGCTTACCCACCTTTTCAAATTGCATCCAGGAACTGATTTTTGATAGACCAACAGCATGTTACAGAAGGATTGGAAAAATGCAGGGGTGGAGCTAGATGGGGGGATATTGGCCACCCTTAGCCAATCAATGGCCCCCCTTACCATTTTTTTCCCATCCAATACAGATGGTGGCAGCAGTAATGCTCTCAAGTAAAATATTGAAAACATAAAAATTTTCTGTGGTTAATTACACATCAGTATACTAATATCAAATATGATAAATACAGAATTCATGCTCTTTTCAGAGATAGATTTTGTGTTAAATGGGGTAAAGAGAAAATGTGTCTCTTCAAGTCATCTGGGGGTCTTCAGTGAAATCATAGATAAAAAACTATTTTTTAAAATCCTATCAAATAATCAATTTTTGTAGATATTAGTACTTGTAAATATCAATTTTATGCAACATGTTTATTGATACAAGTCGGTAAGTAATGACAATGGAAAATAAATAATTTTATCCACTATACCTTTTGTTTAGAAAGCACGGATGTTTATATTTATATATATATGCATCTATTTGTTAGCAAAGGTTGTAGGAAAGTAGTGTTTGTCTTTATTTAGTGTTCTGGCTTAGTCTCTGGAAAGAGGGCTTTACATGGTTAATGTCTGACACATAAAAATGTAAAATGTGTGAAGCTGGATTTAATTTGAAGTATTAGATTAAGAGGTGCTGAATACAAATCAATGCTACACTTTTCAGATTTTTATTTGCAAAATATTTTAAATTGTGTTAAGTTTAAGGATAAGACAACGGGTAGTCAAATTTCTCATTTTGTATCTACTTGTATGTACCCCTTTAACCGATCTGTTGGAGAGCAGTGGGCAGCTTGAGGCACCAAGGAAACATGGGACTGAAGGGTCTTGCTCAGGGACCCAGAGTGGCAGATTAGTCATTTTCATTCCACCTCACAATTTATATACTTTTTTTTAGAAAAAGTTGAAACTTGAGCAAATGTTATGGTGTTTATATTGCATTATATCATTTTATAATTCACAGTTTTAAGCTGGTATTTGAAAAGTTTCCTGTTCTGCTCCAGGCTCAGGGAATCTCCGTCTGGTTCGCCTCATGTCTCCCTCTCCCCCTGGAAGTTTCCACCTTAACATTTGTCTGAACTCAAGCAAAGGTTTTTTTTAATAAAATATTTACCACCTTTTGTCTGTCTCTGAGTGTAGATAGCCTCTCTGGGGAAACCCATAGAATGACAGGAGAATCAAAATGGAGCCCAGCAGGGGTGTGTTTGGAAATAGTCGCACATGGTAGGCAGATGGCTGCTCTGATTCAACACATCAGGGCCAGCTGTGACAGATGTAGATGTTGCTGGTGATATTAAGTCATGTTTGGCTTCATTTTCTAGTCTTATTGAACATTCCCCTTTGAGACTGTGCAGATATTTTGCAAGCTGTACAATAATGCTCTAGTGTGAAATACTCCAAAGCGGTTTTGCCTCTAGCAGTACTGATTATTTATTCCTCATTATTTGTTTATTGGCTGCAAAGGGAGTTATGATCTTACTGTATAGCTTGGCTTTGTCTTAAATCTCTCATCTTAGTTGTATTGTCAGCTTTTACCCTTGAATCCATGTTGGAATTGCCCAGAAAAGTTTGAGTCAACAGCATTGTGCTGCATGAATCAGTGGGAACAGTTGCACAAAGAAAGCTGAAACTGATCCTGATGCTTTGAATTTCTGAATGGGCAGGGCTGCAGGGACACTGACCTGCCTGTGAGGACAAGGTTTCTGCAACAATCCCGTCCCCTCCGCTTGTTTTCTGTGTTTGACTCCCTCTCTCCCACTCGCTGCTGTCCGCTCTCCTCCTCTTCTCCGAGGCTTTGGCCGGAGCTCCTGCTGTAGGTGGAGCTGGCTTTCCTGGAATTGTCGGGCAACTTTTCCTGTTGTGCTTGCTACCTCTTGCTCAATCTCTCGCCTAATGACAGCTCTGCCGCAGGATTACTGGGTTTGGGAAAACTTGTGCCATCTGGATGCGTGCTGCACGCCGGAGTCCATGTTTATTGCATTTGTTAGGAACAGATTTTTATAATTTAGGTCAGAGGTATCCCTGAAGCAAAAATGTCACGGCAATGCAAAGTGGGGCGAAATCCATCGGTGGGTAAAGTAAACTTTGTATGAATGGGAGAGCTTTCAGTAATGCAAAAAATACCTGAAGCTATTTGCCGTGGCTGTTGGCCACATTCTTATTTCACAAGTGTTATGATAGGTTCAGGATGTTTTATGATATCGCTTAAGATAATATATAACGATTCTCATCATAGTGATTTTGCTTAATTAAAACTACCCTTTATTCACTTTGTTGTTGGAACAAGCTGCATGCAAAAATACCCTAACCTGTTTGGCAAGACCTGCCAGTGCTGTTGTAGCTGACAATGTTGTGCAAACTTAAAAGCTGTTATATTTTACTGTTTTATAGTTTTGTAATCAGGAACTATTAATTCTGGATTCAGAGAAAAAGGTGCTACACATAGACAAACATGCAGTTGGCATAAATAAATAAATATAAAATACTTAAGACTGATTAATAAAACAATGAATGACCAAAAATCTCTCTGGTGAATGTTTGGTCCCAAAAAAATAATTCCTTGGCATTTGCGCCGGTAGGGTTCTGTACAAAGAATAAAAAAAAAAAAAACATAAATAAATAAAAAACAAAGGCCCACAGATGCATCAGAGACACAACAATTGCTCCTTGTGTTGTAGGCAAAGTAGGACAACAATCAGTCTGGAGATCCTAGAAAGACAAACCCAGGTCTCTTGCCCTGTGGAAATTCTGGTGTTCTCGTAGCTTTCAAGGGACTGTTTGTGCCCGACTGTCCTCAATAATGAGCTTTGGCCCTCTTCACACATAATGAGGAGAAAGAGAGTTTGCAAAGGGACACGCTGTGAAGCCCGGTGTGTCTTCTTGCAGCTGGTGGTGTCTGAGTGACCCAGAACAAAGGCTTAGTGTCTGTGACTGTATGGAGCCCCAGCCATCGACAAGCAGGCCAGTGGACTTCTGCTTGGCTTAGCTGTCAGTCCTCGCCACTCTCCGGTAAAAAACAGTGAAGAGATGAACTTATACAGGCTTGGGCAAAAATGATATAATCTACAGCCCCATTCTTACAGTTCAGCAAATCAGATCTAAGTCAGATATCCAACATTTTATCTATTAAAGGCAAACATTTGCATATCCTAATCATCCTTCTGCTTTTTGTCTCTGATGAGATATATCTTACAAAATTTAGCTCAAAGGTACATTTGTGTTCACCTTGGAAAGAAAAGATAGTAAAACTCAAAACTGACCTAGATTAATAGACTATTTGATTATTGTCCAAAATTCCTGTTTATTCACAGGTTTTGTTTACTGAATATCTAGAGCTGCATTGCTTAGAAAACCATAACGTATACGTAATTTTCCCCTACTGTCTACTAGAACCTATGCATCATCATGATACACAAACATGAAAAAAAATGGATGTTGTACAATACATAGAGGTCCCCGATTATGGATTTTAGTTTGAGGGAGAGACTGTCACCATAAACCGATAATACTTTAAAATGCAAAAAAAGATGAGTTAGTTTCCATTGTAAAGTCTTTGACATTTAGTATTACTTATTTGCATAATTTGTGTGTGGGGATAGGCTTAGATTCTTACCTTAACAGTTAATTTTCCAAAAGGCTGCCAGCATTTCCTAATCAAAGATGGTTTAGACGCAGGCCTATATAGTAATTTGTATTTTTGATGGACATCAGACTGATTTCTGATATTAGATTGGGAAATCTCTGTCCATAACACACTGCGGTTAAAAGCTCAAAAAACACAGTGTTGTTTTTTTTAAACTCTGTTTGACCTTCTTGTTAAAAGTGTTGATCTTTCTTGCTAGCTGAATAAACCGCAGACATATATTTGCACGTCTTTGGCAATTTAGCTTAGAACTGAATTGGTCCTTAACTTAATGTGCTTTCTTTGATGTTTTAGTTTTTTTCTCATACACCTCACTGATTCTGAAATTAACCAAAAAGTAAGTCTCGTCTTCCCTCAGTGATGGCTTTCATAACAAATGGTTCTGTAAACTGGCAGCTCTTAGGCTTGCTGATTTTGTCTCTTTATATGATCTCTCTGAACTGAAGCTAAGTCTAAATGTGGACAGTTAGGTTTAATTAGGTTGAACCCCTTTTTATGTAATTGTTTTTATATTACAATTGACCTTCTTTTTCTTTGTGTCATTCATAGATAGCTGGTCAGCTTCCCTGGATTTTGCTGGCATTCCTTCTTTGTTTTGCGTGAAAATGGAAACACTAGAGTCTGAGCTGACCTGCCCAATCTGCCTAGAGCTTTTTGAAGACCCACTGCTGCTGCCCTGTGCTCACAGTCTTTGTTTCAATTGTGCCCATCGAATCCTGGTCTCCCATTGCACCCCCAGCGAGTCTATCCAGTCTATCAGCGCCTTCCAGTGTCCAACTTGTCGCTATGTCATTACTCTCAACCAGAGAGGCCTAGAGGGACTGAAACGCAACGTGACCCTGCAGAACATCATAGACCGCTACCAGAAAGCCTCTCTAAGCGGGCCCAACTCACCTAACGAAACTCGTCGAGAGAGGGTAAACCCAGAGAGCAAAGCCATGACATTACCTACTGACCGGGTGCAGTGTCAGTTCTGTGAGCAGGACCCCCCGCAGGATGCCGTGAAGACCTGCGTTACCTGCGAGGTATCATACTGTGAGGAGTGCCTCAAGGCCACCCACCCAAACAAGAAGCCTTTCACTGGGCACCGGCTGATCGAACCTCTGCTGGACTCCCATCTCCGGGGGCTCATGTGTTTGGAGCATGAGGATGAGAAGGTCAATATGTACTGTGTGACAGATGAACAGTTGATCTGCGCCTTGTGCAAGCTTGTCGGTCGACATCGAGACCATCAAGTGGCAGCTCTCAGTGACCGGTATGACAAACTCAAGGTAGGAAATAGATTTATTGAAGTTTATTGGTGGATTTATAACGTACGTTTTCCAGTGACTTTATCCAGTAGTTATTACAAAAAAAAAATATATATCTTTTGCAGTGTTTTGTTTTTTTTTGTTAAAATTGCACAATTTAAAAGGTGATGATTTGGATACTCTGTAAAAAAATAAATTCATGGTTTCAGTTAAATGCATAGGTTTATAAATCAAATTCAGTGAGCAATTTTCTTAAAGTGGAACCCTAGATTATGCACTGATCTGAAACTTGACCAAGCAAGCAAGTAATTATCGCTCAGCCTTTTTCAAGCTTAAGTTATATTTAGGAAGTTTCTCTGGCATAAAGTTGAACTAAATTTGTGCCTTGCCTGAGGCAGGCATAATCGACTTTTCCTAACTTCATCTAATTCTGTTTACAATGAAAAGACAGCTGTATCCTTCCTTGAATGAGAAATGAGTTCTGTTTATGTTGGTAATCAGTTATGAAGCCAAAGTTCTCTTTCAGACAGATGCTCAGTGGGGTTTTCTTTTTCAGATGTTAGAAGGTTTCTATGATCAACTGTGCTTTAATATGTAATGTGAGAAATCCACCTTTAACTCTGCTTTGATTCAAAATTCCATAACATTTAGACCAGAGAATGCATTCACAGTTTTAGCCTAAGTGGATCCGCTGGGCAGGCATGAATAAGATATGCTCTTAGATGGAGCAGAAAAAGGTGACTCTGCTTTCAGTTCATTGTAAATTTAAATGAGCAGGTGATTTATTTCAAGTTGAGGAATCCATGGGCTTATTTTATGACTTACACTGAAAGAAGCTTATAGGAAAGAAAAAAGAAATAATTAAAATTTTCTGTGATTATTATAATACAAAACAATATCTGAGGATATTACATTTTATAACATTTGGATTGTATTAATTGTGACTTGCAAGTACTGTTTTAATGCTAACTATAAATTCAAAATCTTTAAAAAAAAATCTGTAATAAAGAGAGACATGCTGACTGCTTATTTAAACTTAAAATGTCACCCCAAGGAACATCCATGGGGGACTGACTTACTACCGTAAAAGATAATCCTAAATTGTCCTGACAGACAATAGACATAGAGATAAAATACTAGATGCAATGTGAAGCTCCGGAAGCAAATGAATTCAAAATACACCTTTAGATGGTTTTACTTTGACTCCTGAAAGTTTTTTTTTTGCAAAGCAAAATAACAAGAATTACATATTAATTGTTTGGGATGATTCATCATGTAATGTTACTGGTGTTAAGAAATTGAAATATTTTCTTTTTCTTTTGTTTCCTTTTGTTCACATGGACATTTTCCATCTTAGCCTGTGTTTGTACTAGTGACGTCCATTTTAATATAAATTTTAAGAACATTAAGTCAAGAGATTTTAAGATATAATAAAACAAACTATTATAATTTAAATATCAAACACACTGATATTGTATTGATTACTGTGATTTAATATATTGTGTGGTCCTAAAATCAATGATTCATTTGACATCATATTGTCAGTAAACAAAGTTAATCTCTAATAACACGCAATCATTGAGAAAACACAATAAATTAACTTGTCTGTCTTGTTTTACAGAACAATTAGCTTAATTAAAAACAGCAGTCATACCCATTCTTGTCTGTTTTTTGAAAGCTTTCAAATTTTCACTTACTGTAAAGTGTATTTGAAGCTTTAAGGAGGAGATTGTTTTGTCGAAAAGCAGCCATTTGTATAACAAAAATGAAATGCTACATGAAAAACATGTCCCTCTTTTCCCTAGCACTCACAGTCCCCATGCATGAGTCACAAATCAATGTTTTTATTTATCATAACTTCAGTCCACATCCTGTTTCTCCCTGTTCTTTTTTCTCCTATGCTTGACCGTCTTTGTGGAATTTGGATTCAAGATATTTTTTTTGGATGCTTTTAGTTTTTAGTGATGACTTCTCCCCTTTGTCTGATCATGCTGTCACTATGCAGAATTCTCCTGACCACTTCCTTTGTGCGGGGAGTGATCAATCATACCAGGAGGCGGACCAGGTGATCAGCTTCCTTTCTTTAATCAAACAATCATGAGGGATTTGTTTTATTGATCTTCTTTGAATCTGAAACAAATCTACCAAAGGGGGAAGAGTATCTGTGAAGATAGTATTGTGTGTTGTCTGAAGCAGCTATGACTGGTCCAAGGTATTGACTAATGAAGTATGCTAATGTGACCATGGCAGCTGTTAATGTATGAGGCATGCTCAGCCTTATGAGCCTGTTGTGTTTTCATTATTGCATCTAGTTGCTAATGTTGGCACTAATGTGGCTTAATAATATTGTCCCAATGATTAATGACATTACGGATAAAGATGAAGATAAAAGGTTCCTGCTTAATCTTCCTGCAGAGTTCAAAATGTGGTTGTTTAGTGGAAGTTTTGTGTTGGGTTTTAAATCAGTCTTTGTGTTCTATATATTGTCCTTACATTACCGTACACACAGATTCTTCCGCTGTGCAAGGTCAGAAGTGAAAGAGGAAATAGGAATTCCTACAGTATGGCTATGAGAAATGTTTTTGTGCTTTTTGTTTTTTTCAAATGGCATGCAGGCTAGGACTCAGGGTATTTTTTTGTCCCTGGAATCACACAGTTAAAACTGTGTGGCATTAAGCAGGCAGATGAGTTGCAAGGGTGTTTGGAGCATTGTGTGCTGGCATAAAATCCATACTGTAGTGGCAATGTTTTTATGTCACTGTTTTACCCTGAACGATCAAAGAGAGTGACTGCTGCATTAAAAAGTACATAGTTTTTAAGTTAATTCCACAGCTTATACAAAAACAGAAAAGGAGTCAGCTTAAACCATGGGAAGATTGTAATCTAAAACCATGCAAACAATATGGGATGGTTTTAAGACCTTAAGGGTTGTTATGATGACAGTAGGACAATGTTGCAATCATTCACAGTACAGACATAAAGTCCACATTTAGTTTATGTGGTTTTGCAACTATTACAATAAACAGAAATTACCACTATCAAGAGTAATTATCATATCCCTCTATATGCCCGTTAGTGAATGTGACCTGTTTGTCTTGAGAAAGTACCTTGAGATGAGCACTACAAAAATAACTCACTTGAAATTAATTTTATGTAAAGCCATTGAATTGATTCTAACAAGAATTTTTTGCTTATTGTCATACTAAAATTATTTTAAATATTGAACATTTATTTATAGTAATACCAATTTCACTTGAGATTTTAAAGAAGATGAAGCCGTAAATATCTATATACGTAATGTTATAAAGGTCTTGTCTTTACACATGTCTTTATAAACAGTGTAGTGGTCATATGTATAATTATTGTGCAGAATGGCATCTATTCTTAGACAAAAAATAAATATACAGCACTGGAAGACATTCTCTTTCTTCAATCATCATCTCTGCATGTATATTAGCTTTTACAGAGCAGTGTTGAATTTCAATGCAAACAGATATCATTCTGCTTAATGAGGCACTGATTAGATGATAAGCTGAACTAACAGCATTGTAAAGCACAGGTGAAGAGTGAAACACATAGAAGCTGTGATGAAAAATAGAGGTTATTCCTTTTAACATTGATTTTTATACATTGTATTGTTAAGAAATACATATCAACAATTTAATTTTTGATTGCATTTCTGAAATTCGACTATTGGTAGTTTCCTTCAGCCATGTGGAAGCAATGTTTAACTTCTCTGACTAAATTGAAAACATAAAAAATAATTAATGCATTGTATTTATGTACGACCTCTGATCTTATCTTTTCCCTAAACATATGTCAAAGGCATTTTTGCAGCATCAGGTTCCCCTTGGATGCACTCATTCTAACTTGCAGGGTCCAACCTCAATGTTGTTGGTTAGTGAAGGACTGTTCAGAATTGTGTTGTGAACAACCAACTCTTCTCCGTTGAGTCTTTATATTGGCAGGTAAACTTTACTATCATATATTTACCCATCATTTTCTTCCCCATCTGATATACCAGCTGCCATGTAAATTTACAGATAGTGTTCTGGTAAAAAAAAAAAAAAAAGTGCTTCTTCTTTGTTTTCAAACAAATATTCTGCAATCTGTATACTTTGGAGAGGTTGTGAACGGGTCGGGTCAGAAACAAGCCCTGGTACATGCCACATGCCTGAAAAAAGTCTTAGTACACTTAAAAGTAAAATGTAGAAATTCATACCTGCACACTTAGCAAAAATGTCTGTACTAAAAAAAAATTATTTTGCTTTAGTTTGGTACCCACATGGCTATAAGAGATATGGACAATCGAAAAACAAAAAAAAAATAATCAGGGGAAAAAATTATTAATAACAATGATTTTAATTATTACTAATAAAAAAGAATACGAAATTGCCAACATCGTTATAAATGATGATAAAAGAAAAAAACATTTTCAATCAAACAATTAATATGCAAATAACTGATAATAACATGGAACACTCTGCCATAAAATATCCTAAACTGAGGACACTACTTAACCTTCAAATGAGTCCTGAAAATTTGGTGGAAAACAACCTCGTCATACAACCATAGATAAATATTAATTCTAGTTTAATTCTCTTAGTAGTCTGTTGACATGTTTTGTGTCTGTGTCTGCTTTTCTCCGGTGCTAACGCATATTATGTTAAAGGATTTGTCGATGCAATAATTAATATACACTGTCCCAATTTAAATAGAACTAAATAAATAAATAACAGTGAAATATTGATCTTTAAAATAAGTCCTCTATTGTAAGCTACAACTGTTTAAAGTTCACTATTAATTTGAAACTAAAATAACCCTCTCTCAGAAGTTAATCTAAACACTATTGGGGATTGTTGTAGCTAGTAATTCTAAAGGTTGTGGTGTTTCTTTGGAGTCTTTGCAGTGTCCCGTGTATGTCTAACCAGATCATTAGAGTTTGGATGCATTGTCGGTGCCATCTTTTTCATTGGGGTTCCTCTGTCCGTCCATCACTTTTTAAGTCTATACTTTCAGTA